AGAGAGAGAGAGAGAGAGAGAGAGAGAGAGAGAGAGAGAGAGAGAGAGAGAGAGAGAGAGAGAGAGAGAGAGAGAGAGCAACGGATGCAGCTCAACGCGACTGTGATCTTTTTCCGATATCACAGTCGTATCATGTAAACACTCCTTCTTCTTCTTCTCTCTCTCTCTCTCTCTCTCTCTCTCTACATATGAGAGGGAAATCAAGTGCTGACATCTCTAGCGAAATGGTTAGGACTACTGAGTATGAATCTTGAATAGCATTCTATTTGAGCAGGATGAAATGAAACTTGTCTTTGCATGAACGTGGCCGATATACGAGATACATTCCTCTCCCGTGTTCATGTTGCGGTTGACGAAAGGTCTGCTATCGCTGAGCAAGAGTCTGTTTATACTATTATCTGATAGCTAATATATTCGGATCGGACGAGATTATGCGTATTTTTTCCTCTTCTCCTTCCTCATTTTCTTTCTGTCAATCTCAGAATTCGAACTAAGCGTGATGCTTATTTTTCTTTGCTAGAATCCAATTCTGCGCGTCCGGCCTCATCCCCGGGGCCAATTGGAACTCTGCGCGGCTTTTTTTTTTTTTCAGTTCGTTCCCCCAAAAGCTTTATAATTACAGTAAGTAGTTTTCCCCTGAAGAAGCGCTCCGCATTGGATTTTAGTCTTCTTCTTCTTTTTTTTTTCTTTTTTTTTTTTTTTCTGTTGTCAAATTTCAGTCTTTTCGTTCGTCTTTTTTCACCTCTCTCCTTAAGCTACTGGGGGAACATCTTCCATTTCCTACCTGGGCCGTGGTCCCATTAACAAAGAGCATCGGATTGAATGCCTGAATCTGGACGTGTTTGAGGACAGGAGCAGGAAATCGAGATAGAACTGCTTTTCTGTATCTCTGCATAAAACATTGCCAGATTCAGGATAATCATTTCTATCCTATCCCCTTCGCTAGTGGGACCACGGCCCTAGATATCGCAACCTAGGATATCTTCGCTCAAGCCTGAGCTCTCATCGATATCATCGTTAACTCCGCCAAGGTCAAAAAAGAGTAGGGCGTCGTAGAGGGCGGAATGCTACAATTAGTATCTCGACATGGGTTCCTACCGGTAGCAAGAAATGGCAACCTACCGGTAGGAGATTCGGTGTCGGGACTGTTAAGTGGTAGTCGCGCCGGTTTCCTATTTCACGTGCCTATAACGTAGTGTCATGTGTGTACCACTCCGGAACAAGGTACAACTTTTTTTGTGTTTTTTTTTTTTTTTTTTTTTTTTTTAAACAAGGTGCAACGTGCATTCCTTGGCTGTCCGTTGAAGAAAAGTCACCACAATTATCCGTAATAATATCATAAATTCACATTCGTAAAATGAGAAGTATAGATCACGATTAGCACGCGATGATCCCATTTTGCCAGCTTCGCCCACATCGCCGACATCGCCGACATCGCTTCATTCCACCAGTCTCCGTGGCTTTTGCTCACTCAGTCTGTGGGTCTGGCTATGTCCGCAATGCCATCCAGTGACTTATGTCCCTTTTCTCTCTCCGTCTACCCTGCATTTTCACCCCTCCTCTGCTCTTTTCTGTTCTGATTTTTCTCCTTCCTCTCTGCGCCCTTGCTCACTCTCTTCCTGTCTAGATCTCTCTCTCCTCTCTCCTGCCAGTACCTATCTTACACCTGTCTCCTGTCTCTCCTGACAGTGTGTTTTTTCTTTGCCGTGTTTTCTTGTTTCGAGTCTGCCGTCCTCTCTTTGGTCCTCTTTCCCGCTCTCCGCCTCCTCCTCTCCAGTTTCCACTCTGCTGTCCTTTTACAACCCCCCCCCCCGCTCTCTCTCTCTCTCTCTCTCTACTGCACTATCACTTCAACCGTTGATTGTCAACTCCACAAGTTTATAACAGGCAGAAAATGCGGGTATGAGCAATGGCAGTCTCTCTCTCTCTCTCTCCCCGCCAGAGGCGGGGAGCATTCAACGAGATCTTTCCAGATGGATCTGGATGCACTTCTGCCCAGGCCATTTTCATGTTCAGGAGTGGAAACAAGAAAACTAGCCTCTTTACATTCCAGCTGTTGGCAGCAGGTCCAGAATAAAGGCGGTACCTGTGGCAAGCATCAAATGTCCCATGTTGGTTTTCACCCCCGGCAGGCTCGGCAAAAATCAGGGCATATTCAGGCTCAGCTTCAATAGCTGGGCCAAGTACTGGTGGTTTAAGGTCGTCGGGTTCCCGTGTGAGGGCCGGCTGACACTGCGTACCCAAAATCGTACTTTCTTGCGCAGGGCATATTCAGGCTCGGCTTCAATAGCTGGGCCAAGTACTGGTGGTTTAAGGTCGTCAGGTTCCCGTGTGCGGGCAGGCTCACACTGCGTACCCAAAATCGTACTTTCTTAAAAAATTGGGTTGCCCGATTTCAGAAAATAGTGGCTCCCCGTCACACTGCTTCCCCATTTCGCAACAGACAAGCTTGCGGCCGCCTGGATTTTGGGTCCTCTTCGACTGCTCCAGTCACACTGCGAGATCACATTTCCTGGCAATATCTTCGTCTTCGAATTTCTTTCCATTTCCACAGGTTGATTCCAAACAAGAAAGGGAATTTGCGGTAACCTCCCCAGGTTACGGCAAATTCGCAACCCCCGCGGCCCCTCAGGCTGTTGGCAAATGGGGTCACAAATGAGTAGTTTGGGGAAATGAGATCCTGGTGTGACTATCCCTAGACACTATTTTTTTGGGATAATTTTGGGGATATGCGGATTTGGTACTGCAGTGTGAGCGTGCCCTTAGTATGCCCTTGGGGCATACTCACACGGGGACCTAATGACCTTAAATCCCAAAGTTTGAGGCATTTTTCGGGTCACATTGGAGAGGTCCGCTACCCAAATACCTCAAACGGTGACCCTTCTGTCAGCGGCCTGGGGGCCCGTTGGAGGACCCTTTTTGAGACCACCTCCAGAGGTGGTCTCAAATGACCTTTCAATTTCCCCCCCCCCATCTTACCTTATTGCCAGAAATCGTCGAAGAAGAAAACAGCCTGCCAAAATAAAAGAGTCAAAAGACAAAAAAAATGGCAATGTATTTATCTATGTTCTAGCCGTGGATTCAGTCTCATTTTGCACATTTGGAGAGTAGTGCAGGAAGGCCTATGTAAAAAAAAAAGCTACATCTACTTTCTTACGTTATTTTGGCATGGAAAAAAATTGGGGAAACTACGGGGGAGTCACAAAAACAAGTTGTAATTGCACTGTGGGCCAAGATACAGTTTGCAATTTTTGCAGTTCGGGCAATGTATACAACCCAGCTTTCTGGCCAGGTAGGGTGCCTGGAGTGCAATTGCAAACTGCATCTTTCCCCGTAGTGCAATTAGAACTCGTTTTTGTGACTCTACTGAAAGTTACCCCCAATAAAAAATCCATCTACTCTTTTGGTCCTCACCCGTGTGACTACGCACACTTGCCCTGAGGGCGAAGTGTCAGGAAAGTGTCAGGGCCGCGAAGTCCGCCCATGTGGCCACACAAGGACCTAAAGTCCCAAATAGGCCTACCCAAATGCCTGAATTTTTTCAGACTTTTGGTCCTCGTGTGAGTAGTATGCCCTTAATCCACGTGCCTTGGCTCCTCCCTATGATGACGATTTCCCATCGACTGTGTCAAGAGACGGACTGTCATCATGACGATGATCGGGTGAGAACACAGTCGCCACTGCTTGAAACACTATTACTATGGGGGGGCGCTCTCTGACGATATGAGGGGCTCTTCTATGGGAGGGGCTCTATTACAATGAGGGATGAGGGGGACCTCGAAGGAATTTATGTTGAGGGTCATCCTGCTTGCTGCTCTTCGCAGCCTGTTCGCAGCCCATAGCGGATGGGTTATATGCTTAAACCAGCAGTACTTGGCCCAGCTATCGGCCGCGGCGCTTTAGGGCTTCGGGGTACCGGACCACAATGGCTGGAAGCGCCAGCTGAGCCAAAAAAAAAAAATAAACGGTACCCCAGTGCTTCGGCCAAAATTGGCATGCAGGGGCAATCCAGGCTCGGTCATTGGGTCCACCAGTCCTCTGTGGAACGGAAGCGGTAGTGCAAGGGTTGTGCCTTTTTGGGTGAGGGGTTTGGAGGGGGACACTTCCACTTTTTTGGGGGGGGTTGGAGGGGGCCACTTGCACTTTTTTGGGTGAGGGCTTTGGATGGGGGGACATGTGACGCTCAACCTCACGCCCTGTGCTGTTTTCTGGTCGGAGCGTTTTGGTTTGCGGAAAGGTCCGGGAAGAACAGCAAAGATGGGGTGTGCCAAGGATTTTTGGGAAAATTGAGTGTGGGGACACAGACAAAACTGAGGTCCCCCGTGTTGGTCCGACTTTAGTAAGAAGGGTTCCATCGCTGCACGGGTTGCGGAAAGAAAAAGGCGCGCGCGGGGCCCAAGGTGATGGGAAATTCAATCCAAAAAGTATCGCTCTACTTCCCAGCGAGCCGTTTGCCGGCGTTTCGAATGAAAGGGGGAGGGTACACACCGTAACACACGTAGTATCCCATTTTCGGATGAGGTACCGTCGGCGTTCACTACACAACTTCGAATCCGACG